TTTTTTTTCTTAAAATTTTTTGATAAAGATTTTTAAAAAAAAATATATAGATAAAGAAAAAAGAAGTAGATGGCTGCAGTGTGATGTGATACAAATTCAAGAGTGGATGCGATTCAGAAACGTCTGGTCTCTCCGTCATGGATGGATTGGATATTAATTAGAGGCTTGGCGAATCTTGACGTGGCTGATTCAAACTGACAACGGCGTCTTGTCTTGCTTGACCTTGACCTTGAGCTTGACCTTGACAAGCATCGATCAGATAAAAAGACCAGGGTCCCATATTTAAAAGAAAACACTCAGAACCGTGTTTCTGACAACCAAGGTAAGGTAGCATAGCATGCTGGACGGAAATAAGTACCTACTGTACTGTAGGTGGGTTGAGCTTGACTTTCATGGATAACCCCTGTCTATGGAAATGCAGCAACCTGCAAATTGCAATGAGAATGAGCTGTCCGTCCAGTGCATTGTCAGTTCCAGGCCACTGCTGACTCGGCTGAAATTGCCATCAATGGATATCGAGCCCAAAGCTTCCATGCTTGGGAGATATCCGAAGGGGAGCTTGGGGATCCCATCCCATCCCATCCCATCAACATTGCAACGGCGGATCTATCCCTAGGTATCCGTTCCGTACAGTACCTTGGGTTTAGTTGAGATGACGCCTTCTTGTCTTCTTTTTATTTCTCGACTTGGTCTTTGATTCCCCTTTCTTACCTACCTACCTAGGTATCTATTCTTGAAAGAAAGATACTAAGGTAACCAACCCCATAGCAGCCTCGCGTTGATACCCTGCCCGAGGAGCCCTTGCTCATCGATAATATTGCGAGACTGGGTACGGGTCATTTTACTCAAGTTTTTATTACCTTTGGCTCATTCAGTCTTTTTTTTTATTTATTTTTATTCTTATTTTTCCATCTTTCATTTATCTAATTCATTTTTATCTTTTTTTATTTTGTTTCTTTTGCTCTCAACTTGTTGGTGTCGGTGTCTTACCTACCCTCCTTACTAAAATTACCTACCTACACTACCTAGGTAGTACCTTCAAAGCCCGACTCCACGATCCGGCCGCGTCCTGCCAACACAGGATGTTCATGTTGTCCTGATGGGAGCTACCGATATTGCCTCGCGCCTTCGAGCCAAATTCACAAGAAGACGACATTCGACAGAAGGTTCTCAGGCTTCTTCGACCCGGAGCGTTACCGATACTTCGTCCTCGTTCGGAAGCCGTCACGTTGGGGATCGCGATCGTGATCGAACTCGGGCTTGCCAAAATGGCGATGGAGATCCTTCTCCCCGTCCTGTGAGTAATTCGAGGGGTACCGTCAGTAGCCGGCGTGGTATGACCGCAACGACTGAAGATTCGCAACGGCAACGAGAAGACAGCGACGATTTCGCAAAGATTGAGGTTCCTCGAGAGGTTTCAGAAACAGCAAACTCAAATTCAAACTCAAATTCAAATTCAGATTCGGCAGAAAATACATCCTCGGAAACAGATACTGAGGCAGCTGGAGCGGTCCCACCCGCTAACGACCATTCCACAGTGAGAGATGCAGCACTGAAACACCCGGCTCCGCCTGTAGACCACCAGAGTCTTGGCGAAGAGCCTGCTACAGCCGCCACTAGCTCTAGCTCTAGCTCTAACGACCAGCTCCAGCCTCCGCCACAACTTCAACCTCAAATCAATCCACCACCGTTGATCTCCCCTTCACTCCATCCACAAGAACAGTCGTCACCATCGCGACTACGACAAGCAAGCTCGAATCTCGGCCGAATTCACGAGGACGCACAGGATTCTGAGCCAGAATCTCCTACCGCGCGGCCTAAAGCCGTTGCTAGCTTAAATTTGGACGCTGCTTCTGAGCTTGCTGGACACAATGACGACGACCCGTTGAGTTCCGACCAAGCCCCCAACTCTCCCAAATCTGCCGCCTTTGCGCCTTTGGCAGCCGCTACCTCGACCACCTTTGTCGCACCATCTCCTGGGCTTCCGCCATCAGGAATCGTTTCCGTCCCTGGCTCACCAACGCCGCGACCAGCCCCGCCGCCCCGACGACAGAGCTTGCTGTCAAACCGACAGACGACGCTGATCAACACGCTCCTTTCGAATCAATCCACGCATGAGCCTAGTATCACACAACCTCATACATACGCGCCCATAAACGGAAATATGGTGACTCGCAAGGTCTGGGTCAAGCGACCCCATGCCTCACCAACTCTCGTTACTGTCAACGAAGATGATCTTGTTGACGACGTCCGCGATATGATTTTACGTAAATACTCCAACTCACTTGGTCGAAGCTTCGACTCTCCCGACATAAACATTCGCATCATTCCTCGAGACCAACATTCAGAACGCATTCTCAATCCTGAAGAGCCCATGGGCCGGACTATAGACGCTTATTATCCAGGTGGACAAACGGTTGAAGAAGCTCTTGTTATCGATATCCCACGACGTCCGCCTAAGGCTTCTCCACGCCCTGTACCATATGTTGGCAACGTCTATTATAGCGAAGACGGCCGACCTACAGAAACAAGCGATGGCTACTTCCCCTCAGTCGGTGCTCATGCCGGCACCGTTGGCTCGCCACACCTTCCGGTGGCAGTACCCGCGCACGTCAACCATCAGGGCCAGCACTCAATCGCAGTGTTAGGGACTGGCCAAATTCCTCCTATCCCGTCGCCTGGTAGATCGCGCGCATACAGAGACCGTCCAGACCGTCCTAGATTAGGCCGTACTCACACATCGTCGCCGACTCTGATAGCTAACAACTCATCCGTGTCCTTGGCTGCCGCCGCCGCCACGAACCATGCGAATCATGCGAACCACGGTACGCAACACTTCAACCCGAGGTTGCCACATTCACGAACTCATTCAAACTCTTCAGATGCTCCTGGTATGCCGCCTGCTGCCCCTCCTCTGCCGACGCCGCCCGCGCCCGAGCCATCAGCAGCACGTGTCTCAACACCACCTGTTAGGCCGTCCTCACCTCGACCTACGGCAAAAACCAAGAAGAGCAAAAAGTCCGAGCACCCGAGCCTACCACCAGGCATGCTCAATGGTGGTGTACCTCCTATTAATGTTCTAATTGTTGAAGATAACCCGATCAATTTGAAACTTCTTGAGGCTTTCGTGAAGCGCCTCAAAGTCCGTTGGTCGACCGCAATGAACGGACGGGATGCCGTCAAGAAATGGAGAAGTGGTGGATTCCACTTAGTTTTGATGGACATCCAGCTTCCAGTCATGAATGGACTTGATGCAACACGCGAAATCCGTAGACTGGAAAGAGTAAATTCCATCGGTGTCTTCTCATCTTCTCCCGATGGTGAAGTCACAACGGAAAACCCCGATGAGCTTGACGACAAGGACCGCCTGGAGAATACTTCCCTATTCAAAAGCCCTGTCATTATCGTCGCTTTGACTGCCAGTTCGTTGCAGAGTGATCGCCACGAAGCTCTAGCCGCTGGCTGCAACGACTTCTTGACCAAGGTATGCCATTCCTATTTCCACGCTAACGCACGAACGCATTTGACTAATTTGGATACAGCCTGTCAACTTCGTCTGGCTCGAGCGCAAGGTCATGGAATGGGGTTGCATGCAGGCCCTTATCGACTTTGACGGCTGGCGTAAGTGGAAGGAAATTTCCCAAGAAGCCGAGGAGAATGAGGCGGCGAAAAAGGCTGCAGTTGCAGCAGCCAAGGCAAAGTCGAAAAAGAACCGCTCTTCAATGACTAAGCCCGGTTGATTACTTCAATTACGACCGATACCAAGATATCAGAGGCCCAGTGCAACGCGAGAGGCGGAGGATGAGTTGTGGTAAACCTCACATTTCGAGCAGCAGCAAACACGAGTTGTCTCGGCGATCTATCTACTTGCTACCCAAAGCTTTCTGGGCAGGGTTAATGTTGGGCATTTCATGGTCGTCAAATGCTGGGTAGGAAGGAGTTTTATAATGGTTGCAGGCATGAAGGCGCAAGTAACAGATACATGAATACCAATGTTTATAATACCATATGCAAGTTTCTACGTTGTATCGAAGGGTCCCTAGTTTGGCGTGAAATAACCTCAACCACACCGCAAGTGCGCACAGCTTAATCTGATTTCAAACCAAGGGAACTGAATTCAATGAATTGGTAGCTTGCCTGAGCTCTCCCAGATTGCAAAGCGACAGAACATGTTAGCTACCTGTCTGGTTCTCTGTAAAGAGCTCGAGGATATCAGGTACTCCACTACCATCAAGTTATACTGTGGGGCCTCACAGCGGAAAATTCGAACTTCCGAAAGGCTGAAAAATACTGCACCGGACGAGCAGCTTTAAACACCTCTCAACAAGTCCAGCCTTTTTTGATTCGACATCCAACCAATTCCAATCAATTGGTCCTGGGTCGCATGTAATGCAGCAAGCAGTCAGAGAATATCTGAAGCTGCTGTAATCATGCCTCTTCGAGTGCGTGGCGTATCGACGCCACTGGCTGGCCTCGATGCCGTCGTCTCCCTCTCCTCTAGGAGCTCTTCGTCCTCGCCGTTCCTCCGAACTTTCTCGACAACACCATGCCGTGAGAAGATGAGCAAGGGCCGCGCGAGGATGTTCGAGTGGCTGAATCACGGTGGTGGCAGGAATCTTGCCGAGGCTGGCACCAGCCCCAACTACCTTGGTCCTCACCAAGATCAACCTTTTCCTCTCAACCCTCTGTTCCGAAGTCAGCCCGTACTCGCTGAACAGACCCGAGAACTCATCTATGACAAGGTGATACGGAAGGGCGACTCGCTCAAGGCGGTGTCTGCTGAAATGCACATCGACGTAAGACGAGTTGCTGCCGTGGTGCGGTTGAAAGAGGTTGAGAAGCAATGGAAATCCGAAGTAAGTAAACCATACAATTAATTACCCTATCCCTTGTCCTGCTTGCTATATGATGAGACCAAACAAAATTTTCGATTAGTCTTGAAGACACCTACATGGTTATACTTTATATACTCTGATAGCATCATATGATTACGGGCTTGCGTAGCTATTTTTTTTCCTTCTTCTTATTGATAGCAAAGCTAACCTATCTCAAGGGCAAGCAACTGGCATTGCCTTACGCCAAAGCAGTCATGAAGATGCTACCAAAGACGTTCTGGGAAGAAGGTGCGGAGAATGTGCCCCACGAGCCCATCAACGAGATCCATGTGCACAACCTCACTATGCAACAATTATTCCAGCCTGTGTCAGAATCTCGACATTTTACACGAGAGGATGCCGCCAAGGCTTTTCACGATAATATGCTTTCTGCCGATAAGCGGTCGCCTCAGCCTGAGCTTATCGAGATGGAGCGAGCCATCATCAAGGGCTCTCCACGCCCAAGTGCATTGACCAAATTCCGTGAGGTCACTCAACGTGACGAGGACATGGTCGCTGAGCGGATAGTGAAGGAGCGCCAGCGCGAGGAGGCCAAGACAAAACGAGTCAAGACGGACCGTTACGAGTTCCGGTTTAAGGAGATCAATGTCGATGATGTCGGCCGCGACGGTCGTTCAAGAAGGGGAACTGGATGGCGCTATGGTGCGCCTTTCGAGGATCGCAAGCGTGGGCTGGTCAAGATTCCCACGTCGGTGCCTTGAAGTGTATGAATGCCTATGGGATATGGCGAATGACTTGGCTACAAAAGGCGCAACTGTACAATACGAATACCAACGACAGATATCAAGCCGTGTATTAATTAGATATCGGGCCAAACAATGGTCCAATGAAGAACAGAACAGCGCTTGCATTGAAGATGTGATTCTGATATCGACTAATGGCTATCCAACTTTTTGGATGCGTACTGATAAGGGCTATTGACTCCCTGGGTGAGGTACGATCAAGTTTCTTCGGACCTGTTGGAGATCATCCTCTGACAGTCCACAATTCTTGACAAGATATTGCTCAACAGAGCCATGCTGTTCTCGTAGCGCTTCTAGGGCTGCCAGCATGTTCTCCGGTCTGGCTCCAAGCATTCGTTTGGCACCCTCGGGGTTTTCTTGGAGCTCAGGTATCTTCATCATTGCTTTAAGAAGATCATCTCGGAAGTCTCCAAGCCCAGCCTCTGTAAGGGCATACTCGTGGGCGATTGTCTGGTCATCCACTCCGCAGAGTGACAGGATGAAAGCACAAACGACGCCGGTTCTATCTTTGCCTGCTGTGCAATGGATGAGTAAAGGCGAAGGGTCCGGCTTGGCTAGATGTGAGATGATGGTGTTGATAGGTTTTGTTCCTGCCTCCCAGATTCCTCGATATGCCTCCACGAAACCTTCAGTCCCCTCGGCTGTGTAGTTTCTGAATCTTATAGCAATCGCCTCAGGGCCGTAGTCTTCATCTAGAAACACTGGAACAAAGACACGTTCAGCGCCAGGCCATTCACGCGTTCCCGTGGCATAGCGCTCTATTTCAGTACGGGAGCGCAGGTCATAGACGTGTGAGATTTTGAGATCCTGAAGGGCTGAGACCCCATCTTGGTTGAGACGAGATGGCTCTGCTGAGCGGAAGATAATGCCAGGCTTAATCGTGCAGCCAGGGCGTGACTGAATAGGAAGCGGACAGCCTGCAAGGTCCCTAAAATTGGGAAGCCCAGAGACTGGATGGAAGGGAAGACCGAGATCTGCCATTGCAGTCGCTGATATGCGTCAGAGTAAGGGCGTGGTGAGAGAACCAAGGGCGAGATTTTCGGCGGTTATTCTTGTTCTTGCCAGCTCGCAACGAGGCCGAACGTGGCATGTCCCGGACGGAGAGACATGGTCGGAGGTGTGGGGCATGACTTATACCTCGGCAAGGATGAAGACAATACTAGCACCGAGACAAACCTGTTGAGCTGGACTTAGAAAACTGACCGATTTGCAAAACAGAATAGGCAACCTAGCGAATCACTTAATTGTGAACAGTAGTGATAATACATACTGTTGAACAGACTACAGAGATCCATCAATGGTGGAAGTGGTATTAAGGAGAGTATAAAGTTGGATTCGTAAAGATAATCTAGGGCGTGAGCTCTATTCTAGTTTTCGTTTGACCGTCTAAGACACAAGGAAACAAAAGAAAACATTCCCCAGCTCCGTGGGCCGCTTGAAAGTATCAGTGGTATCTTGCTGTTCAAACAACCGCACCATTTTGCACCTTCTGTATATAAGTCGATACCGTAACCCTAACGCATCCTCCGTGTGGTGCCTCTACTGGGTGTTCATCTAACAAACTCCACATCGTGGGCAACGAGGAACATTGCAGTTGGGACAAACGGCGTCAAGAGAGATGTTGAAGAAACCGTGGGCGCAGTTGCACTGAGTAGAGTGAGTATGCTATCAAGTTTGACATGTCTCCCAATCCACTTACGCATTTCCATTGGGATGCAGAATTGAGAAGTTGCCCTCTGTTACCGGCAGAAGCAGGTGAATCAGAACTGTAACTGATTAGGACTGACAAGCAACAAGAGCCTAAAGTTCTAACATACAAGTTACCGCTAGCCATTTTGTATAATTTCTTTCTTGGTAGGAGAGCGATGGTATTCGACTTGAAAGTTCAAGCCAGTGAATTTTCTGCGGTAGATAGAGATAAGTGTGAGTGAGTTGACGGTAAGATCGAAGCAGATGTGATATTGGTTTGATAGTCCAGTTCTTCATTGCAAGCACGCTCGCGTCTATCTATATATACACAAGTTGCTATGTTCAAGGCAGCTGGGCTGTATAGTGATTTTCGATCTGAGGCTTGCTCCTGGAACTACATCGTAGGTTCGGAGTCATCACGAACAATGCCCCAGCTGCCTCTACAGTAACAACAGTGCCACCAAATTCCATCATTGCGATGTTCTTGATGCTTGAAAGCGAATTCGCTTCACGTTAGCGTCATACTGGATTGCTCGACGATAACAAACGTTTGGCTAGGGTAGGAAGTTGACAGGATGAAAGCAAGAGTGCCTCGGAAGACTAATCCATCCTGGTGGTGAATGGGGATGCTTCGTCTCGCGCAACCTGGTAATACATCTGCCTCCTGCTTATTAGGAACGAGGCAATGAGGGTAGGATCACAGTTCCAAGCAATAAGAAGTTGGTCTTTTATTGGGGGCGATGTTGAACCACTAGCTAGACTGTGCCTCAGTAGCATGAACCTCGAGCCATTCAATCCAAGCTGTCCTTGTATGGTTGATATTTGAACCGTCTTTCTTCCGCTAATACAACGATCGTTCTTTCAACTACCTGGGTAGGTACCTATGCGGCTCTGCGTGCGGCTCTGCGGTGAGTCAGATAAGGTTGAGGTTGGGTGCATAGCCACATTGGAGCACAGCAAGTATCCCTATAGTAGGTATGAAAGTCAGCCAATGATAAACACAGGGCGCTCCCTGCAACTTAGTACTACTAAGACAGTGGAGGTTGGAAACAATGGGTGCGCATTCTAGGAAAAGAAGGAGTTGTCAATGTCGCCAGTATGAGCATTTTCAACATAAGGTACCTATACCATAGCTTGAATGGAGTAGTTCTTAGTCACAGTTTAGAGAATTAACTGCACCGATAACATTTTCAACAGTCCTCAATATCGCAACGGAAGTCGGCCAATTCCGTCTGACACTCTGCTGTAACTGAGGAGGAGGATAGTAAGTAGTATTGTAATATTGTTGCCTTGGAATACCTAAAGTACTGGTTGACTGTAATTGACTGGAGCTTGCATAACGTTACCCTGTTCCCATTCCAAACTTCAACATCTCATCACATCACATCGCAAATCCAAGGCTTGGATTCAACATAGCCTAGTAAATGAGAACTTTCATCTTGCGGTTTCATAACCAGGCAACAATATTATTGTTTTGGTACTGAAGGAAGATTGACATTGACTGTAGTTGGATAGCATACCTACTAGATAAATGACAGCATCAGAGCAAACAACTGGAATGCAAAAGAACAAAATTAGAACCAGCAAGAGTCGGGATGCGAAACGAAGTGACAGATTGCTGCAGAAATGCAAATAACAGTTGGTATTTTACTATTTCTTGGTTTTGGTTTTGGTCTTGGTATGATGGAGAGAATCATCATGAACGGGCATTCATCTCCGATATGGAACTGAAGGTGAGTGACAGTGAGCCAGGAATGACCAGGTCTGCCAGGTCAGGTCAGGTCAGGTCCAGGGGTCACGAAGCACTAAAACAAGGCTACCCCAACCTACGTCATAGCCCATATTGGTGAATCACGACAATTTAACAAGGGTAGGTAATTTTAATTATTTTTTTTGTTAACAAAGTCTGTCGATCTGATCTGGCTCTGTGAATGACGGCAGAGGCTTCCTTTGGGCTGGGCTGTCTAGGTACTAGGTGGTTTAGTGCACTACAGCAGGTATTAATTAATCAGGCGGTCTACCTCTACCTACCCTCCAGCAGAAACCCCAACTCTTAACTCCAACTTCAAGCAGCTCCCGTCGTTCGCTGGTCAAAGTGACGACTAAACCCGACTGCAATTTCATCCATCATATCATCTCCTTAATTCTTGATCCGCAACTACCACAAGATACCTTTTTTCGTTTCCTCTCATCTGATACAAATCAGTCACGATGGGTATTAGAGATTTCGCCATCAGTTACGTGGTCTTCACCACCCTCCACTTCTTCCTCTTCGCCCTTGCCCTGGCTACCTGTGGTCTGTACGGTACCGACGTTCACCATGCGAATCAACAGGGCAAATACTCTGACTCCAAATGGGTAAGCAAAAAATCCCAGTGCGTTTATACCTACGTACGATGTACGATGTACGATGTACGATGTACGATGTACGATGTACGATGTACGATGCACCGTGCTGACAAAAGTGACAATGTACAGGTCTACGCTGTAGTAGTCGGTAGTATCTCTGCCGTAACGTGTGTCCTCTACTTCATCCCCTTTATCCTGCGTATCGCTGGCATCTTTGTTCCAGTGTGGGACTTTATTCTATTCGTCCTCTGGATCGCCCTCTTTGGCGTGTTTGGCAAGGTAAGTCAAGTCGATGGCACCCCCATTCAATGCTCTGGCTGACTTGAGTACTGCAGATGTACATTGATGAGAATGCCGAGGGCGATGGAGATATCAGACGCATGAAGAACGCCGTTTGGGTTGATCTTACCAGCGCTCTCCTCTGGTTCATCACAGCCCTGGCGGCTTTCGGGTACTGGTGGAAGCACCGCGACCACAGATCACGCTTTACTGGTCGCGCTCACGTCTGATCCAACGCCGGACCCAGACATGCATGACCACCCCTTTAATGAAGAGAAGAGAAGAGAAGAGTAGGATAAATTAGGTGTGGTGCATATACAGTGCAACTGACAACCCGCGATACCTTAATCGACGGCGGTAATGGAAAGGAAGCCTGCCTGCCGGTCGGGCTGGTGGATGAGCTAGGACATGACTCTGATACCATTGATTTGTTTTGTTTTGTTTTGTTTGATGTTGTTCCCTTTTTGTAACAAGGGAAAGATTGTTGTTCCTGAAATAATACTAGCAAACTGCATGAACAGTACTGAACTCAATTCTATCGCCATTCATCGCCATCACCTGAATCCAGAACATCACCGTTCAGCAATGTAACCACCTGCGGCAGCCACCCGTGAGGCGTGCAGTTTAGGTACCAATGACTGTTGGGCTAGTGAAACATGTCTCACCAATCAATTGCCCAGTGAGTCACCACAAGTCGACCACAATCGTTATGGAAATGTGTTGAAGTGTTTGCGTCAAGATAGGTGATATCTGAGATATCCTGATACATTCATTACTGTAGCATCCTGCACTCCGCAACTTGGATATCGCACCACCGCGGCGCAGAATGTTGCACCACCAGTTATAGTACTACTGTACTCTACTGTACTGTACGGCCAAGACACCAAGCAAAGAGGGGTCGAGCGTTGATCATGGACACGTTTTTGCCCCCCTCCAAGACTCTCTCTCGTACTGTACTGTATGTACTCTGCTAAGAGTGATGTGATGATGACGGTTCGCAAAGGAATAAGGGGTCTTTTCAAGGGTCTCGTCTTTGAGTGGTCGGTCTACAGCTCTGACCTTGGTTCTTGACATGACAAGAGTCTTGACCCTTTTGGGTTAACGAAAGGAAGGGATGGCAAAGCGGCGCTTGTAAGCGTGCCAAGAAGCCAAGTCACTTCTCTTCCACGCCATGACGTCGATCAGATACCTGATGAAAGCTTCAAGTGGGGGCCGCTTGTTTGAAAGTCCAAGGATAATCTTTGTTTTGACTGACTCTGAAAAGAACATACAGAAACGATTTGCCTGTTGATCCTCACCCTGAAAGGCGGTAAAGTCATTATAATTCAGCGATATGATAGCACGTGGTAATTGATTCTTTATCTTGTTGGACCATTGTCACCATCCACGGGACATGCCCGTTTACAGTATTCGTACCAAGCAAGCAATGGTCTTTACCTAGGTATGTATGTTCCAGCTTAGAAGAAGCGATACGAGGAGCTAAGACCGGTAATCTCGGTGACGAACAAATGTCGACAAATGCCATGCATGGCAAGTTTTCGTTTCTCTTATTCATTTAATCTCTCTCCGTGGACCATGCACAAGACCGTCTCTCCACAAAGCGACGGATAGTGCCCTAGAATATCGATTATCAGGTCGAAAATATCGTCGCGGAGTCGGATTGAGTCGCCGCCAAAGGTAAAAAAAAAAAAAAAAA